TACAGCCACAACGAGAGACGGACCATATTCGTTTTTTTTTTTTTTTTTTTGTGAGTTAATTAAAAGAAAGTTGGACTTTGTCTGGATATTGTGGGGGCGCCGTCCCATACGTCCCATACGTTCCATTGCCTGTCGACTTACGAGTAATAAAACAATTTGAAGAGAGCTTAAGCGGCGGTGCGATGCGGTGCGGTGCATGTGGCAAGTGTTTGACTTGCAGCATGTCACTTTGAACCGCCCTAATTGTGAGTGAGTGGAGTGGAGAGTCCCCTTCCTAACATATGAATACTGCGAGTATATTCATATAATTCTCTGAGTATCAAGTGTCACGCGAATGTGTCTGTGCCTTTGAGGTTCACAAGTCAAAGGGTCACCCCCATTTGGACCCTCATTCACTTTCATTTCATACAAAAAAAAATTAACCAAAAATATATGCAACAACAAAAAGTTCCCTCAGCGGAAAGTAAAGTAAAAAAGCAGCGCAAAACTTTTTAAATTGTCACGAAAATCGCACGTGTGCAAAAGATATCAGCCATAGAGCACCAGACAGCGGACAGCAGACATCAGACGGAGACGGAGACGGAGACGGAGAACGAGACACAGACCCCGACCGCGAACCCGTTCAAAAACGCAACTGCAGACCAGACCGGATCACTGGACTGTGAAATGCAATGTACAAAAATTAACCGAAACAAAAATTAAGCCAAAAAACAGTATTATGTAGCTGTAAATGTTGGCATGAAAGTGCAGCGTGATTTACCGTTTGGGGGGTGATTTTTTGTTGGGTGGGAGCATGCTCTTAGAGTACTCTTAGAGTAAAGCCAATTAATTAAATATATTAATTGGCAAACCAACAAAATAGCTTACTGTAAAAAATTTTAAATTTTCATTAAAATACTCCATAATTTATAAATTCTATACCACTTTAAAATAACAAATTCCTAGTACATATATTACCCCATTCTTTACATAAGACTGATTTATTAATAACATGGCAATTGCCAGCGGTGGATCCAATGATTTATTCCCTATCTATCGTGTCGTATGACAACCAAAAATTTGTAGCAATGATGGATCCCCCCACAACGTTTCGGCCGAGCCACAGCCAACAAAAGCTCGTAATTCCCTTATCAAAAACACCGAGTCGAAAGCCACAAAATATAGAAATCTTTTTTAGGGTAATGAGCATTGAATAGGGCAGAGGAGATTGGGTAGATCGGATGGGCGGGGCCTTATCGGTGGACAAACTCAAACTCAAACAAAAACACACAATTGCAAAACAGCAAATAACACTAAAATTCAATACAGATAAGGGCAAGTGAGGGGATAAAAATGAAATGGAATGGCACGGAATAGAAAAAAAAGAGGGGATCTCCAATTTCCAAGAATTTAATATAAACGAACGAACGATAACGCGAAAGCTTATTGGCAGAAATAAATACGAGTAGTATACATATGTATATGTTAGAGGCGTAATTTATATAAAAAATATAGTGGAGGAATTCTAGAATTTTCATGGCAGTGGCACTGATAGCAGGAATAGCAATAGAGCTGATAACAAACACTCTCGAATGTCCCTAACTATGCCAAAGTTGGGGTGGGAATGTGCATACACCATCGCATCGATAGGGGTACGGGGATAGGGTTAATTTATAAGATCTCTTACCACTTTAGGCAATGGCGATAGCGGCATGCTAAACAGATATTCATCGCCAAAGATATTGTAGTTATCCAGCGTCATCATGGATCTGCTGTTATCTGTATCTTTTACGCTGCGGATATTTATTTATATTGTGTTGTGTGTTTCCTTATTGTTTTGCTTTATTTCTTTCCGGCACAAAGTCTATGTTGCCGTTTAGCCAAATGACTCAAATCGATTTCTGGCGAAATACGCCGTTGTATATGTCTAAAAAATTCAATTCACACACTGCCACAAATGTATCTCGCTATCGATGTATCTGCATCTGTATCTGTGTATTTTGTAGTTCGAGTGGCGCGCGATCGTGCGAATTATTTGCGTTGTCCGTATTTCAATATTTCCGAGAAAATTTTTTTGTTTCTCCTATTCTGTTAATTTTTGTTTGTATTCAAATGCCGCACACATTTCTGCCTCAGAGAATTTTACACTGTTTTAATTTTTCCCTAGGCGCTTTTCGCGTAAATTCACTCGATTTTTCTTGACGGTTTTGTTTTGTTTTGTTTGAAATGAAACGACGTTTCACAGAGACTTTTGCCGAAGCGTTTCGCACGGCCAACTTGTTTTGACTAATGCGTCATCGTCGGTCGACTGGCCTTATATACGCCCCCAGAGGCCACCCAAACGAATTGAGTATTTTTGTTTTTATCGCTCCGAGTGAAAGAGAGGGCCAGTTTTTACAGAGACAGTTCGAGAGAGAGGGAGAGAGAGAGCACAGAGCACAGAGCATGGGCATTTTGTTGAGTGGAATTGAAAGCTTGGGGGGCTCTGGCTCTGTGTGTCTCTGGCTGGCATTTCCTGAGCAACAAAATGAAAAAATAAAATAAAATAAAAAGCAAAAACTGCACAGACCACAAATTATGGCACATTGTATATAGATATATGTATGTATACATATATCGTGGGTTTAACCCGCTGGCTGCTACATATACCACTCGTATATCGCTTAAGCAGGCACGGCACTCACGTGCCTCCATTGTGCCTCGTAGTTTTTCTTTGGCTACGCGTTGTTTACCGTCTCTTTACCGTTCTTGTGGCTGGCTGGCTGGCTGGCTTCTTTCTTATCTTATCGCCAGACAATTTAGTTATGACATAAGCAACTAAATTTAAAGACACAGCACAGGTAAAGTCCCCCCTTCTTCTTTTTTTTTCGTGTTGTTGTTGTTCAAATGCAACCAACAACCACAATGGTTGGCCTTTGTAATCGTGGGGCCCCAAAAGTCGCCTTATGCCTTATCTCGCATTTTGGGTCTACGAAATGGGTCGCCAGGCGATTCAATTCGATTCCGATATGAATCAGGTTGTCGCCGTTGCCGTTGCCGTTGCCGCCAGCGACGCCAACGATCCACCTGAGCTTTGCAGGCAGGCAGGTGTTCCTCTATAGGCATTTATCGCGTATCTATGTATGCTTTGTCAGCATTTTCAATAAATATTGATGGGGTTTGTGTCCCCCCCTCTCTATCCATTATCCAACTGCCAGCCTGCCCATCGACTCTACCGATTGATGCGTTCCGTTGCGGTGTCATGTAATTTTATGCGCAACAAAATGAAAAGGCCACACTGACCTTGTGTCGTCACTTACGTGGCTCTCCTTTTTGGTCTGTAGGGGGGCTGATTGGGGTTGGGGTTGGGATTGGGGAAAGTGCAACCATAAGTGGGTCGTGTGACACTAAACATCTGTGTGGCACAAAGGCAATTGCTTTGCTCTACTTACCTGCAACGAGAGAGATAGAAAGAAAGAAGAGAACAGAATTTAAAATTAGTATTTGGGTTTCAAAAATGCATAGAAAGAAATGAAAAAGAAACATGCAGATATTCATGGAACGATCAACTAATTAAATCTAAAGTAATAATTGTTGTTCGTCAAATTGGACCGTAATAATGGGCAACAGTTGAAGATATATTGTAGGAAATACATTCTGTAAATTCTACGACCTTCACGGGCATCTTTAATGGAAGTTTCAATCTCATAGCTAAGATCTAAATTTAATATTTGACAACTAAGAATGGCACTAATATAAATAAGTGTTCTCTTGAAAAATGTGAATCTACACAGGAAATCCGGAAAGCTACAACTCCGCATGATTCCATTGAATCAACTAAATATTTTCACAAATTGACTCACTCGAGTCAACATCGAGTGCAGATTGTAAATGCTTCCTCTAACGCATTTCAAAGTTCTAGTGAAAATTGCACTACCCTTTTTTGGGTTAGGGTACAATCAGCAATAAGTTTTCAAATAATTTCTACGAACTCATCGCCGACGCGACGTCACGGAGAGGCGGCAGGCATAGTGATAAGACTTTGTTCTGTATGCCTCAGTTATCGTGCGAGTAGTAGTAGCATTCGGCAGCTCTTCACTACACTCCATTTTGAGTATATACAATATAGTATTGTATTTTTAACAAATGGAATCATTTATCGAGTGCTTAGGTCTGGGCTGGCCCACTGCATCTGACGCAAAGGTTGGTTGCCTTCGCTGCCTGACCGGAAGCAGAGCCTTAGGTTTCCATATAATTTGGCAATCGGTTGTAAGGAATAACAAACAGAAATGAATAATGAGCGATTTCTGTCGAATAAAAGTGGTTTCGCCGCTGATAAGAGTCCGTATGACCGTATCTGTATCTGAGCAAAGGCGTTTACATCAGTACTTAAAAATAAAGCTATCTTTTGTTCGTTTTCATTTCATTTGTTTTTCTTTTGTCCAGCGATAAGCAAAGGCAACGGCAACGGCTCTGCGATAAAGTCTTGCAGTTCCGTAGTAACGTGATCCAAACTTCCGGTGATGATGGGGGTACGGGGTACAGCCCGGGTCCAAGTAGTCGCCAGTTTTGTCGTAGGCCCATGCCATCAGATAAGATTGAACAATGGGAGCCCAAAACAAAAACAAAAAAACCAAAAGTAAATCTATGACAAATACTCGTAGCCCTCGAAGGCCCCCAGTTGTGGTCTGGCTGGGTATCTGATAGGGAAATCGCTTGGCAATTAACTCATGTTTATGGTGTAAACAGAATCGCACCCACAGGTGACTGCTGCTCCCCTCCTCCAGCAAAAGGGTCTCTCTACTTTGTGGATTATGCGTGAAATGGTTATAGAGATTTCTCAAATTAAAATCTTCCTCTAAATCTTCCTTAATTAATTTTTATTAATTAATCTTTTTAATTTTAATTTTTTAGTTTAAAGTTTTTAATTTTAATTTTTTAATTTTAATTAATTTTATTTTTTAAGCACTCCACAATCGTGTGCGCGCCTACTTTCAGATGGGAAAATGTTCGCTCATTTTGACACTAGATCATTTCATCATCAGCCAGGCCTCTTTCCTAGTCTCAAAATCAAAAATCAAAAAATCTTTCAAAATTAAACTCTTATTTTGATCAGAATCACTACAAAAAACTTGCACCAACATTTAAGACTTTTAATCACAATTATAAACGAATAATAGCTTGGGAGAATGGCATTCATTCGTTCCAAGATTACTCTGGGATCGCTGGCACGCGTTGCCTTTCGCTGGAGCGGTCCTGGGTTCGCGCTCGTCAGCTACAGCCAGGAGCCGTATCTGGTGAAGGCCGTGCAGGGCAAGTCCAAGTCCAGAATTTCCGAACTACAGTCCGTAGTGCAGTCCGGCGTGCAGAGAAGATACCAGCCCGCAGTGCCGTCGGACAGTCAGTCCAGAGCCCAGGCCACCCAGTGCTACGGCGAGGACAGCTTTTTCTTCAGCTCCACGCCCACAGCCGATGTGCTGGGCGTGGCCGATGGCGTGGGCGGCTGGCGCGAAATGGGCATCGATGCGGGGCTCTTCGCCAAGGATCTGATGCATCGCTGCTTCACCCACGCCCAGAGGCCCACCTTTGATGCGCGCAATCCGCGCAATCTGCTGATCCAGTGCTACGGCGAAATGAAGCGAAGGTGGAAGCCCATTCTGGGCAGCAGCACCGCCTGTGTGGTGGCCCTGAACCGCAGCGAGTCCACCCTGTACACCGCCAACCTAGGGGACAGCGGATTCATAGTGATCCGCAATGGCAGCGTGCTGAATCGTTCCGAGGAGCAGACGCACAGCTTCAACATGCCCTTCCAGATGACGGTGCCGCCGCCAGAGTCCAGTCATGACTTGTGGTTCTGCGATGATCCTGCCAAGGCGGTGGCCACCCGTCTTCTGCTGCAGCCGAACGACCTCGTGCTGCTGGCCACCGACGGACTCTTCGACAACATGCCCGAGAGCATGCTGCTCGATATGCTGGCCAAAGTGCAGGGTGTCCATGAGGAGAAGGCCCTGCAGGAGGCGGTCAATCGTGTGGTGGAACGGGCCAGTGCTCTTTCGACCAACCCCATATATATGTCTCCGTTCTCCATCAAGGCGATGGAGAACAATGTGGAGTATCCGCGTGGCGGCAAGCCGGATGACATAACCGTGGTCCTTGCCAGCGTGGCGATGCGCAAGCGGCATACAACCAGTGCGGCGAATTCCACTGAATGTTAAGGGGGTGTGTGTGTGGTGTGACCTATTGACCCCACACACACGCACACGTCTATGGGGGAGGCGTTATCACAGTTAAATCAAAAGTTAAAAGTGTTTCCCGGCAAATATTATTCCAAAGTCAATCAAAAAGTCACCAAAAGTTGGCAGCGATAAAAATTAAATATACAATTTGTTTATAGAAAAACAACAACAACAAAAGCAATTGAGATTTCGCTGGAATCAGGTGAAATATGGGGGTGGGTGTATGGGCTGTGCGGGTACAGTGTCTGTGGCCCCACTCATTCATTCAGTAAATATGAATGAATGAATGAACACGGGGCTACTACAACCGATTCCACACACACACACACAGCGCAAACAGATTGGATGGGATGACTCATACGTTTTAACCAGAATTCGTGCGCTTTTTTTTCTGTTTCTTCTGTTTTTCTTAGCCCAGTTAGTGAGTGAGTGTGTGTCAGTGGCGGGAGGGGCAACGAGACGTGCCATGGCCTAGGGCCCCCAACACAACAACTCGGCTGCGCCCACACACTCTCACTCACAAAAGCCGGCTCTATGAAAAAGCACTCGCTTCGGCACACGTAGGCACACTCACTCACTAAAACTCACGAGAGCTTTTGCACTCAAGAGCAAGAGCGTAAATAACTGAGAGGCTGAGAGACTGACAGACAGAGAGAGAGAGAGAGCGATAAAATGCCAGCGAGAGCGTTATGGATGTGTGTGATACACTCAAGATATAAATAAGAGAGTGGGGCAGGGCGGGCAGCAAAATCAGGCGATGGTCGATGACGTTGGAAATCCCCAATGCTGGCAGCAGCATTGCGAAATTCCCCTCGAGCATAATGCGAGCGGGCCTTCGATAAAACCGCAAAGGATACGCTTAGACGACTAACGGTTACCCACAGAAAACATAAAAAATAAGAAATAAGCTCAAAAATTACTTTACAAATCAGAAGATATTTCTTTGCAGAGAATAAAAGAACCAACTAAAACTATTATACAAAAAATAGCTTTTAGTAATTTTTTCAATTTTTAATATTAAGTTTTCAAAATTAGCTTTTAGTAATTTTTTTTCTAGACCCTAAGAAAATAAATATACAAATAATACAACAAAAATATATCCACAACTAAAATTTTTGTAACAAACTCTTCGAGAGTGCCAGCACACCCTCAGCTTCCGCTGATTGTCGGGTCAGAAGTTGACACAATCTGGGGGACGGAGTGTGCTGTCGGGCGGGCGTCAGTTCTTGATAATTTCCCCCTTGGCTTTATCTTTGGCTCGTTTCGCACTTTTCAGCGCCGTATCGAATTGAACCTGATGTTGCAGCGCTCTCTCCCTGTTGCAGCTCGTTCGTTGCCCCTTGGAATGCTTGCCTGCTGTCGAATGCCTGCCTGCCTGCCTGATGCTGCGCCTCTTCTTGGAATTCCTTGCCGGATGACGCGTCCACACGTTGCACGGGCCAGCAAGGATCGACGGGCGTGTAAATCTTTCAGCATTGTGTGTTTGCTGTATGCATTTTTAGCCACACTCCACTCCAAACCAATCCGCTCCAGATGTGCCCCAATTCGTATAACCAATTCCACATCCCATTTCTGCATCCATTTCCCCAGTTCCATGTGCAATTTCCGCTGGCGGCTGGCGGCTGGCGGCTGGCGGCTGGCTATATGCCTTGAATTAGTCGAATTGTCGATGTATAGTCGTATAACTCAATTAGGGCTAGAACAGGGGGGCTAACTGAACATCAGCCAACTGCCATTTAGCACTGACACCTTCTCCTCCTGCTCCTCCTCCTCCCCCTTCTTTTCCTAGTACTCCTCCTCTGGACTCTGTCTGCCCTTGCTCTAGAAAGTTCAACAAACCCATTGGGAACACAGAGGCGGCAGTGGCAGAGGCGCCACAGTGAATGGATGAACAAAGGGGGTTCTTTGTAGTCCATGGATTTCACGTTTGGGGAAAATTCCGCACATTTTTGTATTTGTTTTGTTTACCCTAGATATCGCATGACTGATTGAGTTTTATCATAAAGTATTTCCCATGTCTAAAATGATACCCTTTAGTTATAATTACATATATGTACATATATCCAATAACAATTCCTTACTTAATCGAAACCCAATCGCTTCAGTTTGAAATGCTGTAACCCCTCTTAAGCACTCCTCTGGACTACGCTCCTTATTAATGTATGAATGCTTTCCTTTTCTCTCTCACATGACATCCCACTCCCACTCTTTAGGACCCCGTTTCCTCCTCTCACACCACCTCGCTCTACAACAATTCCAAGAAAATCGAAAGCAAATACGAACTCGAAAACACGCAACATTTGACATTTTCCCCCGTTTTTTTTACCATTTTTGTTTTTATTATTGTATTTTCGGTTTCTTTTGCCACTTAGTTGAAAATATATGTATGATGTATGTATACATATGTATGTAACAAAATGACATAATTTTTGTGTGTGGCTGTGGTTGTTGTGTGGGGGAATATTAGCATTTGAACTGAAGCAAATGAGAGATCATCGCATTACTCTCTCTCTCTCTCTGTCTATCAATATATCTCATATGAGTTAGGATTAGAGATGAGACTTTGGCTGTTAATGAGAGCTCACGAACCGCACGAAGCAAATGAGAGGCTCACTATACAGCTTACAGTTAAACGAAGAATGCGCGAGAGTAAAGCTCTTTGTTACTGCTTCTTGAGCCAATATACATATCCATAAATCTTAATTGTTAAACACGAAATCTCCAAATCATTGTCACGGTGAAAAAACCACCCATACCTTGACCATCTCTAGCTGTGACGTCATTTCCAGCGAGAAACTTTGTGACCAAATTAGGTTCTCTTTTTTCAAATGAGCTTCGACGTGCGAGACATGCTCCGACATGTCTCGACTGGAGCCTCGAGAAGACCAACAACTCGGCTTCTCTACGTCGCTGTTGTCGCTCAGCCACAGCCTGAGCCCAAAGCTTGAGTTTAAGCCATTGACGTCATAAGATAATTTCATTAGCAGAGCGCCAAATGCACAAGCCAAGTGGAACTTTCGAGTGCAAAAAACGAACGATATCTACACATACGACTGGAAATGGGCAAACTTTTTTGGGGATTTCCCAGAATTGATAAAGCAAGCAGGGTATTTGAAATAAAAACCATCCTCTCTCAGATTTTTATATTAAACAAAAAAATCAAACTTTAGACGGAAGCTCATTTTTTTTCTGAATTTTATATAAACCAAAACTAAGATAAGGTTACAATGAAGATTGCACTAAATTAAGTAAAATCCCAAAAAATAAAGTTTATTAAAAGATACATACATACATATGTACATACATATGTATGTAGAATAAAAAAAGTATTTCAATTCGAAAGAAATATACATATGTAAAGAGAGAGAGAAAGCTTACTGCAAAGCTACTCTGAGAGAGTGAGAAGGAGAGCCCAAAGCCAATGGAAATGGAGGAATTTATTCTGATGGGTTTATTAGCCTTCCATAAATTAGACGATAATATTCCCTAACCATTTCTTTGCTGCAATTCTTTCCCAAAATTCCACTAACCATCCCAAATACCAAATGCTCTTTAGTATTCCATGAGTCTTATATCATTTTCTAAACTTTTTCCGAAATCCAAACGCATCACACTATATTCCCATGAAACTCCCTAAATTCCAGTTAAAAATAAAATGTATATAACACTTTCCAGTTAAAACCTGTTAAAAAATGGAAGCCTAGTCAAAAGAAACCCTTTGTGCGAATATTATCTATCCATTTCTTTATCTATCTGTCGATTTCTGCCTGTCGCTTGTCACGAAGTGCATTACAAAATCCCATGAAATATTCTTGGAACAATCGAAAGCCATAATAAAATAATAAAAAAAAGTGAGCACACCACACACACACAAACACACGCACGCAGAGCGAAACGATTAAAACGATCAAACGATTGGTAGGTATGATTGGATCCAGCGATACGAACGAATGTCGTAAAAGATTTGCACACACGAAAAAGGTAAATGGGCCCATAAAAACCAAAGAAAACCCCACAATTAGGGTGACAGATATACATAGATACACTTTTGAACATAATTTCCATGAAATATGATATGATATTCGTATTCCCCATTTTGAATCGAATTAAGATAAAATAATTTTCTACTAACGTTTGCCTGTTTACTTCTGCTTAACTTTAAGAATAACATAAACATCCTCAATCGTTTTTTTTGTATTTATTTATTAACACAAAGATCTGTTGTGGATGGCAAACACAAGCTCAAGCATGGAGGGGTGGGGGAGCACACCGTCAGCAAAATTTAATTTTCCACTCTCGAACACTGAAGTTTGTGTGTGGATAGATCTTCTCTCTGTTTGAGGTTCCTCTGGTATTAATATTATAATTTTAAAGCTTTCATTGCAAAGAATATCGTGTGTACAGCAGTAAAAAAGATGCTGAATTTGATGTTCCAGTGAGAGTATCCCCAAAACAGTAGAGTCTATGTAGAAGTCTTAGCCACAGTCACAACAACAACAATTATAATTGATTGTTGGTTGTATTGTATTTATTTATTTATTTAATTTTTTATCCGCTTGTTTGCTGGTGGTGGCTGGGCTAAGTGAACGACGAAATGATGGGCGCGTTGGCGACGGCAAAAGGCATTGGCAATTTTGATATTTATTTATTTTTAGTTGATGCGCACATTAAATTGGCAATTTCTGTTGGGGATATCTGATCTGATGATGATTATACTCGTATATATTTTATATACTTAAAAATCTGTGTATAAAAAGGTTATCTCCGAGGAGGATTTCGCTGCTGCTGCTGCTGATGCTCGTTTGCTCGTGACTTTTAATGCGTTTGCTTTTAATGCATGGAATATTTATGTGGCACGCTGCATGTTTTATGCAACAAAACAATAACAACAACACAACACACATGGCAATTTTAAGTTGTTCAAGTGCATCGCACCATACATGGCGCACACACACACACACTCGTTCCCCGTTCAGCACCCATACCCCATTTAAATCTCCATTTGGATCCCCAACCTCACCCCATTATCCAGCCTCCTCTGAATATCATGGGGAATGCAACGCGTGAGTCGTTTGACATTCTAAGTGGAATACCAGGCAGCGTTCGGCGGACACAAAAGGGGTGGGCTGCCTGAGAGGTAGAGCCAAAGCAGCTGTGTGCCATTTGACCTTGGCATT